ATACGAATCACAATATCGGATTTTTAAATCTCGTAAATAAGAATCGCAACGTACAATATTCAAATCGTGTGAATAAGAATCGCAACACGCAAATATGAAAAGCTATGTTTGATATTAAAATCGTATGAATAAGAATCGAGATATTAGCAGATTCCAGGCTTGGGACTTCTAAAAGGTTTGTCAGAAGCAGCGTCGTTTGAACTACGAAAATCGGATTTATCTGGACGGCGAGTAAAAAATTCGGAAAATCTTATCTGCTGCGTGTAAAAGGGGAGAAAATAGCTAAAATAAGTAAAAATGAGAAAGAATTGGTAGCTATGTAGTTTGGATTTTCTGTTTCTCTTTGAAAATCGGTGAATTTTCTAAAAAAGCGGAATACCTATAAAAAAAAGTGAAATTTTTAGAAAATCTGACTTTTTGATAAAAAAGCTGAAATTCAAGAGATGAAAGTGAAAAAAGCGGAAATCCGCTAAAAAGCGGAAAAATCTCATCCCTGTATTTAGGAAATTACATAAATCATACGCATCAAAAAGGGGTTAATTAAAAATACATTTCAAGATTCACATGTTGCAATAAATAATATTGCATTAAAAATATCAAGATTTTAAAGAATGTGAAAATTCGAAGTGATAACTATCAAAAAATTTATTATAAAAACAATAAAATTATATCGTCAAATAGAGAATATTCTCACGCACAACTCATATCGGATCAAGATTTTAAAAAATTATGTGAAAAGAAAATCAACAGCAATAACTGGCAAAAAAGAAAAAAACAATCAAAACGCGGCATAGATTTGGCGCAAATGGAGCACATCAAAAAGTATTTACTTAAATGTGCGATTCTAATTTCTTAATAATATTGTATGAAAATATCGGGATTTAAAAAACTAGGAGGATATCAGCAGCAATAACTGTGAAAATGTCAATCAGAAAAAACTGTCGTGTTGTTGCATCATAGAGTGACTAATAAACTGAATTTTGCGTGTGCTAATAATAATATATACACAAATTATTTAAAAAGCATAGAGAAAATTCATAGCAATAATAGCCTATAAAACGACCGAAACACCACATGGATTTAACATGGTATCCACACGCATCGAATGCATCCAGAAAGTGATTAATCAAATGCGTGATTCAAATTTTGAGCGTCGTAAAAATATTGGAATTTTTAAAAACCATGAAAAATTTTATTAACTGCAAAAAAAAATTTAAACATGGATTTACGATGGTATCGAGCGTGTGGAAAGGTGATTACTGAGATGCATGACTTGAAATGTCCAGGTCGTAATATCATTTTAAAATTGATTTGGTCTAATTGAAGTCAAATAGAAAAAGGGGACAAGTATATCACATTGATTAAATAATTCTTCTGTCAAAAAAGGAAATTTACATCAAAAGTTCCACTCATTAAAATAAAAGTTTTTTTTTAAAAAAAAGGAGAAAGCAAACCATTTTTTATTGCAAACGATTTTTTTAATGTTTGCTTTTTTGGAGTGACTTTTCAAATTATCAATTTTATATTTTTCTGTTTGCCTTAATAAATCAATTTTAGCCGTAGTAATGGAATTTTTTTCAATCTCGCGTTCTCGCAATTTATCCTTCTCTAACAAATCTGCATAAAAAAGTTATCATTAAGTGTGAATGAGAACTTAGGCGAAAAAAAGCGAGCACTGTTAAGGGTGGAATATATGTCTCGTTAACGAAATTTTGAGTAAGTAACAAATTTTAGATTAGCGGAAGTCTGAGAAAATATTATCGAAATATAAATTATTTATTAGCGGAAGTTCACGAATCAATGATCTTAAAATTTGAGGAAGTCTGCAAATTAGTAGAAGAATGTACATTTCATTTTGTATAATTGTACCTAATATAATTTCCTTAAGCATACATTGTATGTTGAGTCAGTGAATTTCTAAAGAAAGATTTAAACAATTCGTTAAAAAATATTAAAATTTCAATAAAAATTAGTCACATCCAATTTTGAAGGATAAATACAACATTTACTAGAATTGAAAAGCATCAAATTAGATTCTACATATTTACTTTTTGAAAGAAACACATGAAGAAATCCCTTTATACAAACAAAATATTATTTCAACTTTGCTCAATAGAGAAGGGCAAGAATATGAAGATGCTCTGTCGTTCTTAGATAAAATCTCAATCCAATAGACAAATATACTTTCGTAAAAAAAATAATACTGCTTGCAAATGCTAGTGTTTTATTTTAAAAATGTGATCGCTGAACAGCAGACCCAATTTTGGGTTTACCACAATTGATGTTCAACTCCACAGCCTAGTAATTTTTAACCTAATCCAGAAGATAAGGGAACTCCTGGATCAAATATTGAGAGAAACTTTGCCTTCGTGAAGTACTTTTAGATGGAACTATACCGTTTTTGCATTACATGGAGAGGAAAACCACGAAAATTTCTCTTGGTTAACCTGATGGCAAGGAGATTCTAACCAATGATCCGTACACCACTGAGAATATATTATGTCAGCACTGTGGTCGGTACAAGCCAGGTGCAGAATTCGAATCAACCTGTCAGGGCTGCGATTCGAACCCAATTCACCTCATTCAAAGACGAACATTCTATCCACCGCAGTTCACACACTGTAATATGTACATTTTAGTATTAATACACATCACAGCATTGGACTCATTCCAACTTGAGTCTAATAAGCCATGTACTGCCTAGCACCCATTTTTGAACGCAAATAAATTAATTATTGACCTTTCTACATTCTTTCATACAGACAGATGGCATAAATCACTCCAAATATAAGATCCTCAACGATTCGCTGCCATGTGCCAATTAGAATGAAGGAAGGTAGAACAGGTTTAAAAGTTTTAAAGGGTTTTATTTTTTCTAGATAAAGGTTTTTAATCTAGATGTGAACACGTACCAAACAATGTGAGGCTTTTAATCAACAAAATGGAAAAAGCTGAAGTAGCCTGCAGCTTAACACACAAATAAAAAATTGCCTACTATTGCTTACGAGTAAAAAGTTAACTAAAATAAATAAAATTACTTTTTTAAATTTCTTGAAGTTCTTTACATTGCAATTTTTATACTTCTGAGCTTGCGGTAGAGGTTTATTTCTCTTACATACGAGGGATACAATTTCTACTTTCATAAGATTTGAAGGTAATTCCGGCTGAAGCAGCTCCTATAACAGATCAAACAAATTTATCAAAAGATCTCATAACATTAATTTTTTAACATTAAATTACTTACAGAATTTGAAACTTACATTCATTTTAGTAAGATCAGGCTCTTCCGGTTTGACTGAAATCCTTTCATTAGAAGCCATGATTTCTTGATTTTCATCACTTAGATTATTTTCTTCTTTTTTAATTTGTTTATTGGATGGAGGATTTTTCTTTGGTGATTCAGAGCATCTCTAAAAAATAAAACAAACCATCAGTTGCGAGACATGAAAGTAACAAAGAAAATCTATAAAGACAGAAGATTATACATAGAACAACTTTATTCATAAAAATAAAGCAGCCAACAAATGAAACAAATTATAAATTGATAGTAAGTTAAAAATGATATTCTAATATTTTAAAAGTTTCTTAAGTCAGAAAATTCTACAAAACAAAATTATTTAAAACAATTTTATTCATAACAAAATGTATAATTTACAAATTTTATGTTCTTGATTCCCTATTTTATAATTAATGTTCTTGAGAGAACACAAGAATAAGGAAAAACAAATCAGCCCAAAAGAAATTTTTTTAATTAATATATGAACCAATATTACATTAATTAGTATAAGCAACAAAAAAATTAAACATTCTTAAAATTAAAATTGTTTATAATAATACAAATACTATAAAAATGATTAAATTTATCAAACTAGAAAAATAAAAATACCTAATCAGGATAGAAAATTTATTGTATATTTAAATGACAATTCAATTCTAAATAATTAATAGAAATAAAATTGTCAGAATACTTTAATTTAAGCCTTTTAACCAAATGTTTTACATTTACAAGAGATCCCTATTATTAAAAGCATTACTTTCAATAAACTAATTTTCAGATTGTAAACAAATAATGGTTTTATTTAAAAAAAATGGTAAATTGTACTTTAATTATATTAATCAATATATTTTTATGGTAAAATCTGTTAAGGATAAGTTTTATTTTGACATGGTTTATAAATTTGAGTATTTCTTTATAAGATATTATTACAAACTGGGAAATTCAAAAAATGGAAAACTTTGTAGATTTTACAAGAGATTTGAGAAGAGAAGTTAACGAAAATAAGTATACTAACGTTTTCATTTAGAAAGAATGAAACATATTCTTACTTTTTTTTAAAGGTTAAAGCAAAGTAAGTTCTGGAACTTACTTAACTTTTAAGCCAAATTAAGGAAAAAAAATAAGTCTGCAAATAAAAATATCACTAGACTTAAAATTTGCATCTAATTTTATCAAAATTAATAGAAAACAAGAAATTAATATTCATTTTTAAGCTTTATCTTCATATTGAATATATGATTGCGAATATTTAATCTAAAAAAAAAGAAACCCTAAAAGAAACATCTTTAATCTTAAAAAAAGAAGAAAAAGAAACACCTTTTCTAATAGCTGTCTTCGTGTTCTGAAATTCGATGTAGGTTCTGTATTGAGTATTCTAACAGGCGATTTTTCATTTTCAGCAACTAATGATGCCTCAGGCTTTAATTTGCGAGTTTTCTCCAAAGAGTTTGCCACAGAAGTATCAGCTTTTAATTTAGGTGGACTATTAGGAATTTCCATCGGTTCATCAAATATGTCATCTAACTCACGTTTTACTTGAGCAGATAACGGTATTTCAGATAATTCCATCTCCTCCACAGCATCTGAAATTAGAGAGAAATTTTAAAATTAAAATGTTATGTTGGTTAATTAATTGATAAATAACTTCTTAATTAATTTACATTGTATGTTACTTATATAGTATGTTATTTATAAGCAACATATAATTTTTTACTACTTTTAAAATAAATTCAAATTATTATTAATTCATTAATTAATAGTCCTTACCGGCTCGAAAACTTGTAAGGTTTAAACTATTATCAATATCAGGTACAACACCTTTTGCCTGTTCAGAGCTGTAAAATATTTGAATCATATATTATATAACAAGTATACAGTAAAATCTTAAGAACTATTTTCAAATTTTTTTTTCTTCATATGTACATTTTAACATGAATTTGAAGTATTCGATAACAATGCTAAAATCATTTTAACATTGTCATTCTAAATCTCAAAGTTGTTTAATAGTGCATATAAAATTTATGTGCAGAATAAATTATATTGTATCTCATTCACAATGAGATTTGAATTCCAAATGATTTTTACAGACAGAATAATTTTGACATTCTAATCACTAAATTCCCATTTCTATATTTTCCGGAAATGTAGCTAAAATTGCATTTCTTGCAATGACTATTACTTTTCTTACATCAGACAGACTTAGAGTATCATAGAACAAACAGGCTATATAAATATCTAATCAAAAAGTCTTCATATATTCCATAGCCAAACATTTTTTAAACTTATTTTAATTGTCAGAAAGCAAAAATTATTTTGAACGTTAATTGTAACTCTAAACTTGATTTTTTAGAAAACTCAGCAATTTTTATTTTTAAAAACAACATTGCAAATGAATAAACTGATTCTCAGTGTTTATCTATTGCATGGAGAAACTTATTTATGGTGTTTTATTTTTAACTTGTGTTTATTTTTCTCTTCTTTTTCCTCTATTTCTCCCTTTCTCTCCATATATAAATATCTTTTTTTCTTATATTTCTGTTGAATCTTTATTTTTGTTCAGGTTTTCAGTCTACCCTTTTCCCTGTGTATCTGTCCCATTATATCTGATGAAGTAAGGCACATTCTTTCCAAAGTTTGCATTTTTTATACAGTAATATCGGGTCTAAAATAGAGTTAATAAGCAGTGGTAGAAGTACTTTAGTTAAATTGCATTAGAGCTGCTCAATGGGCTATTGGCATTGGTCTTTTCTGATAATCCTATGCACTACATACACTTTCCAACCTACAAACATATTTATAAATTCTATAAAGTTAGAAAACATTTGTCTAAGGCTAGAGCGTAATGAAAATTCAAAAAACTTTTTACCATAAATAATAATATTGTTAGATTTTTTTTAATATAATAGAGAAATGCTAATAAATAAAATTATTCATCAAAATCAAAGCTAAATGCAATATCCCCTTGGATTTACAGCTCAATAATAATTGTCACAAATTAAATAAAACTCAAATAAATGGCAGAATTAAAAAACAGTGACGAGAATGTATTTTATACCTGACTATTCTCTCTTGTGTATCAGGTACATACACTTCACGAACAGACAAAGTCTGAGATTGTAAGTTTTGACCATTGAACATGGCGTCACCTAGGAAAGAAAATAGTGTTTAAGCTTTTAACAAGGAAAGTGAAATACAAACCCAATTTTTTTTTTTTTTTTTTTTGTTAACAGCAGGCACTGAACTTTCAGTCTTTACCTCGGAAGGTGACAGAAGTATTGCTCATTTGACGTTACCCATTGGGTACCTGTAAACCTAAATCTAGGAGATGAGCAACATTATACATGCCACACTACCACAGATACCCGTTGATAGAGTGGGCCACATTCATACATCACTCACAACAGAGAACAACACACAGAGAGAAACATCCATGACCTAATGGGGATTCAAACCCTCAATCATTGGCATAACAGTCAGGCACGCCGACCGCTTGGCTGGCACGTAAACCCAAAATTAAATTTATAGTAAAATTAAAGATGATCCATCATCATCAAACTTTACTAATTATAATGTATGCATAATCCTAAAAAAAATTATTATAGGATATCGATTATTTTAAAAATTAAAGAAAACTGGTTTAATTAATAACTAAATATAAAAATACTGTTTTTCTATTAATTAATTATAGAAGTTTTTCCATTGTTTTTGTTATCTTATATCAGGGGTCTGTCGAGGCCGAATTTACTACCGTTTAGCGGTACCTTCACAAATTCAACTTTAGGAAAAACGGTAGTTTCACAAATTCAATTTTAGGAAAAACGGAAGTTTCACAAAATGCTTTTTCTTAAAATTTTATTTTTGTATCCCTTAAGAAACGATAAATCCATATTTTTGTGTTGATTTTTTAATATAATTTTTAATTTTTCACAAATTATGTCTAAATTTTCACAAAATAGGTACCTTTCAGAAAAACCTAGACAGACCCCTGTATATATCTTAAATTCAGGACAGCCCAGGGTGAACCAAAGCTTTCCTTTGAAAAACTCACCATGTAGTTTCTCTTGATAACGATGATCCTTCAGTTTATAACTATTAGTATTGAAAAATTCTCAGTGTGTACAGTCTTCTCCAACAATTATTTTCTTTTATACCTCCAAGAATAGACCTTAAAATATTTTGCTTTTACCTACAAATGGGTCAAATTAGATTCTGTCAATGTCCTTGTTTCAGAGCCATAGACTTAAATAGATCTAACAGAAATTTTATTATTTTTATAAATTTATTCATTTATTTTTGCAAATTAATTAAACTGTGTTATAAGCCACAGAAGGGTTTTCTTTTGCAAATCCATTCTATTTGTTACTTCAGGCAGTGGTAATGTTTTTTACTTATATGAACAATTAATTTTAATTCCTAAGTTCATAAAAATAAAAACAATCATTTCAATACATAAAAAATACTAATTAAGAAGTTTCATAAAAAATATACATTGAAAACAGAACATACCCATACTAAATTTAGGATTGCAGAACTTTTCAGTAGAACAGTAAGCAACTGCTAAACCAACATCAGACTCTGGAATCAATCTCAACTTGTTCCTAAATAAAAGATGACCTAATTAATGCACACACTCATTGCTAATACTCAAAACAAATTTTTTTTTAAATATTAAATGACTTATAACTGTAAAAAAAAATAAACAATAATTTTTAAAAAATGATTGTACAATAAAAAGATTGTATACAGTTAAAGATAGCGTAATAATAGAAGCCAAACTTTTTGATATAACAACAGGGTTCCCACTCTATGATGAGATTAAAATTCAAGGACTTTCCAGGACTTTTCAAGGACCTCAACAAAAATTTTCAAGGACCTTAATCTAAGACCAATTTTAAAAATTATTCTCTTCTATTTTACTAGAAGCCACAATGCTTGTTGTGGCAATAATTAATTTCAAATATAATACCTAAATGCTTTGCCTATATAGAGAGAAGAGAGTATATGTATTATGGACTAAAATTTATATTTTTTTAAAAACAACCCTACTGGTTTTACATATTAATTCACAAAATCATTTTCAGCACAATCTATAACTAATGGTAATGAGGTGTTAATGGTGAAATCCTTTAATCCTGTGTATTTCCATGTGAAGGCTGCATGAAAGACAGAGCTAAATCTTAGGTATTCCATATTCCATGACTATTCCATAACCCCCTCCTCTCCTCTATTAAACATCGTTTCTGAAATTATTCATCCATAATTTACACAACCTTCTCTAAATGTTATGCAGCAACAATTCTTTCTGAAAATAAAAATTAGAAGGAACATATCCCATTTTCACCATGTTTAAAAGCATTATTCGTTATGTGTAATCCACAACTGCCAATGAATATGACCTGGTGGGAATATTTCTCTTTTAATTCACACTGAAGCTTCTAATAGAATTTCCAATTGACATAGGGTCCATCCATGGATAATTGAAGTATTTTAGAGAGCTTTTAACCATCATCCATGCATTTGTAAAAAGAGGACAAAATATTTTCTGCAGTTCCATGACCCATAAATTGGGAGGTAAGATACTTAGTGCAAACTTTATTATCAATTCCTTACCATAATGTCCATCTGCTTAGATTGTAGAGACTGATTTAACGTCTCATCAAAGAGTACAGTGTAGCAATCAACATTCTTCAGCTCATTTATAAGAATCCCTTTGAAGTATAGTGCCAATCCAAAGGAGCCCAAATAGGCTCACTTTGTGGCACTACAAAAAAATTGTCTCGCTATACAGCTATCAGCAAACATTTTGGAGAACAATTTACTAATCCCTTCACAGGAGTTACATGAATAATTACTAGTGATGCACTTCAGACTCCAGAGAATTTCAGCATCAAGCACATTCCTTTTGACCAGATAAGAAGACAATGTTACCTCGGCCACTAAAGTTTCTGTTTCACATGGGGCACACGATGTTGAAGGAGTATTTACACCAGATGAATTAGATGTTGATGTCTTTGGAAAAAGAGAACTCAGGGCATGAGACTGCTTTTTTGTTTTACCTTTCTTTCATGTGTGATTTCAGAGCAGATTCTTCCATTTTCGCGATATCGATCTCCTTCATGCATAATCGGCACTTGGCTCTGAACTTCTTTTCGGGCATCGATAAAATCCATTCTTTATAAGCTTGATTATCCATCCATTGGGGATTAAAATAGCACTTCCCAGGCATAACTAGTCTAAACTACATAACACAAATACGAAGCCGTGCCTTTGCGAATACGCTTTACAATAAAGTTTTGAAATGACGCAAACGTAAGGACAAGTGCGGATGGTAAAACGGCAAATTTATTGAAAACTACAAGGTACATATTGTTACGAAATTCGAGAGTATTCCAGTTTCGATAAGAAAAAAGAAGATCTAAGCATATGCGACAGAAGATGAAGTGGAGTCTCGCCCCGAACGCATTGATTGTCTGCTGTGCTCCGCGCGCTTGGCAGACACCAAGACGCTAGGCCCGGTTAGAAACGGTGGCGTTAAAAACCACGTGAGAGAGCTCGGGAACAAAACAGAAAGAACGAGAAAGATCCGCGGGTGTTTTATAAAAAGGGCCGCCGGCAGTATTGGACAAATTCAAGGACCTATCAAGTTTTTCAAGGACCTAAGACGTTTTTCAAGCACTTTCAAGGACCTAAATTTAGCAAAAAAAAATTCAAGGACTTTCAAGGACTCTCAAGGACCGTGGGAACCCTGAACAAGAAACTGGAAGGAAAAAAAAGCATTATTTTTGCCTTTTAATTCATAAATTGACTTGCCCACAATTTATAGATATTTTTAATTACAAATGTTGCATTCATTTAGTTCTGTTATTTATGATCTCCCATATAAAATTTTATTATTATTTTGCTTCATGAAAAGTGCAAAAACTGTGTGAAAATGCTTCACCCATGGATAAGATCTTAACTTAATAAATAAAAATATGGTAAGTACTATAGAAAATAATGAATATTGTAAATAATTTTATAAAAAAAATATTATACCAAACATATACTTGCAACACTCTCTGTAACATATTGATTTGTTTTTTTTTTTTTAACATTCATTTCATAAATATAAAATTTGAATTCAGATTTTAAATTTGTGTAAAACCCAAAATTAGAAATTTATCTGCAATAGTACACATTTTTCTCCACTCATGGTTTCAAATATTTACAAAAAAAAATAATAAAAAAATAAATAAACAAACGTTTTGCTTCTTTTGTTTTGTTATTTATTTTTGCTTCAATTATAGCAGTAATGATTTTCACAGGAATTGCAGATTATAACACTTTCTTAACAAGGAGTTCAAAAAGACTAGAAATTTGAGTATATTCATAATGGGAAACTTACTTCCAATTTGAAGAGCAGTAGTATTTGTACTTATGTGTCAATACTCATAAATGCCACAAATGCCTGAAGCCTACTATTTTAGTCATAGAAAAAAGCATTTACTTATTTTGAACTTTAAATGCTGATATGTTTTTCAAATGTTTTTAAAATAATTTTTAAATATTAATAATTTATTTAGTAAACAAACTAATTGTACATATTAATAATTTCTTGTAAGAAAATTAATAATTTATTAAAAAAATTAACTAATAATGTAACATCAAATTGTTATTTAAATAATATCATAAAAGAATTGTTTAAATATTAACATAAATAAGCTATTTTTTTACTTATTATACGTGTAATAAGCGAAAATAACTTATTCCGATGAAACAATAATAACTTAAGTTTCTAGTTTGTAACACTCTAACAGTATATAACAACATTATTTTGAATTACTGACTGAAACATTTCTTTACATCATACATTGTAAGAAATCTCAACTTAGATTTTAAAAACTATATTATATGTAATAAATGAGTTATACAAATTGGAGTCATAAATAATTAGCCAATTTTGAAAGTTAAATAGAGTTTCATAAAATTATCACTTGATAATTTCATGAAATCAATGAACAAACTTAAGAAAATCTACCAATCATTTAAACTTATCTTTAATCTGTATCATCAACTAATTTAGAAAACAATTATTTAAAAAAAAACTATGATATTTAATATTCCGCTACAAAAATAAATTAAGTTCAGATATTTTCTTCAGTTCTCATATATTTGTACAAGATTCTTATAAAATATTTTTTTAACAGGGTGCGTAGCCAAATTATTCAACAAAAAATAAAAACCTTTTAAGCACTTTTTAAGCACTCTAATAATATTTTTAAGCACTTTAAAAGAATATCATAATCAGGCTGGGTTGGAAAGTTTTTGATAATTGACGGTTTTAACAGTCATGTCAAAAAAAAAAATTCATTTGGCATTGTTTTCGGCAATTGTCAAAATTTTTTAATCATGTAAATCGAATGGCATTTTCATAAGCTACTGTCTGACGATGCGCCGAAATAGATTGGGGTTGAATTAATTGTGAAAACATTGAATAGAACAATGTGAACAGTGTCTTTCTGCAAAATTCGTAGCGAAAATCAACATGGTAAAGGAAAAATCTCAATTTGGAAAAGGGCTCTCTAAAGGCTTTTAAAAAACGAAAATAGAAATTAAGCACTTTTTAAAAATGCTACGCACCATGTTTAAGAGTCAAAATGTTCTTGCCAAATAAATTTACGTATTTATTTGGCATAGATTTTCCCCAAATCAATAAATGTCAAGATACAGATGTTTATCTGCTTATTTTATATTTAAATGTATCTAAAGGACTTACGACTGCAGTATAGATAAAACATCTGAAAGGGTTTCTCTGCCTATAACTTGACTGAATTCTTTAGCAGGTTCAATGACACAACTACCTTCTTCAGACAGAAGATCAGAAGACACTTTTTCAGACGAAAGTATGGATGCATTACCACCACCAAGCACAATACCAAGATGCAATTTCTTAAACTGAATGGGAAATAAAACAGAGATTTATTATTTATATTATTAAAATCACTCTAATCTCTCTATTAGAGCATAAATTTAAACATTTTAGACTTAAGGAATAAAAGATGAAATCTGAAATACGAGAAGAATAGAAGGTATTTTTTAAATAACAAATCATGAATTACTTCTGCTTTATCATTATATTACTATTATACATTATATGAGATATATTACTATTATACTATTAACTTCCTTATGAACTTCTGTTAAAAGCTCGTAAAAAAGTTATTCTATTTTTTGATAACAGTATTTTTGTTGTTGATATTAAAGTCTTAAAGACTTTTTAAAGACTTAATTAAAGAAAATTTGAGTAATAATAGTTAATAATCATTAAATTGAGTTAATAATCATTAAAGATGTTAAATTTATAGTGTTATATAGTACTATAGTGTATTATAGACAATTTCAATGACCAAAAATTACCTTGTGCTATGTAGACTAATGCAAAAAACAATGTGAATATAAAACACAAATCAAGTATAGAAATGGAGATTGGTTTTCTAAAGAAGAACCTTCCTCAGTGACTGAACACCAAATGACATTAGAAAAGTAAAGAGACAAATTTGTGTAAAGTGGTTTAACCAGTCAAGACAGAAGAACAAGTTTGAACAAGGTAATAAAAAGGGTGATACCAAGAAACAGGTGAAGGGGTTTGGCAGAAACCTCAAGGGACAAAAGATTAAATTAGACTAGATTTCCATTTATTGGAAAAAGGTGGGTTCATTACCTCAATTACACATACTGGTGGCTGAATAGTTAGCATGCCTAATTGCGAAGCCAATAGCTGCAGGTTCGAATCCCCTACAGGGTATGGATGTTTCTATGTTGCCCTCTGTTGTGTGAATGTGGCCCACCCTATGAACAGGTATCTGTGGCAGTGTGCAAGGGTAATGTTGCTCGCCTCCGTGACTTGGGTTTACAGGTGCCCAACGGGTAACGATAAATGAGCAACACTTCCAGCATCTTCTAAGAAGAAAAACAATAGTTCGAGCCTGCCGTTATTTAAGAAAAAAATTTACACATACACACATTATTTTTCACTCAAAATTACAGGATAGGGCTTCTATCACAGCTTTTCATCTCACTCTATTTGTGGACAGATATTTTGCCTTTCTCCATGTCTTTCCTATTTTTCTTTTCTTTCAATTTGTTTAATATCATCCTGCACTAAATATTTTTAGGTCTTTCTCTTTTTCTACTGCATCAAAAACTTGTTTCACTTTAAATTTTTCAGGTTTACGTAGAACATGACCAATTCATTTCAGTTTATATTTTATAATTTCCAGATCAATTAGTTTTCGTTTTGCTTTTCTAAGGATTTCTGCATTACCTAATTTAGTAGAATAATACTAAGAAAGTAAAAGACACGAGTGAAAGCCTTTTGCGAACGATTTTGGAAATTTGCTATATAATAGACATCATCAATTATACATCCAAATGAAGAGAAGGAAAAAAAAACAGGCTTCTAAGAGAATCTTTCATTTACAGCAACAATGCAGGAAAAATCTGGTTTCAGAGGACATCCCCTTTCCTAATGCATGAATAATTTTCGCCTTAGCCTTTTGATTCTATTGATAAAAGATAGAATCAAAAAACTTATTTGATGGAAAAATGTCTAGTAAACAATATTTTTTTTTAAAAAAAACTTCTTTTAATACTTTTTAAAATTTTCAAACAAGACTTTTTTTTTTAAAAACTTTTATCATTTTAATTTAAAAAATAGGAAGATGTAACAGCATTGATAAAATAGGTTCAGAAATTTACTAGTTTTAAGCTTTTAAAATAGTTATAAAAATTATCCACTAAATTTTAAAAAAAATTATTGCAAGTGCAAATTCAACTTAAAAAGACCTATTCAAAAAATAGCAAATACTAAGGTTTTGAGCTTATAGTTATTGAGAAAACAACTAATGAACTTCCCTATAAACTAACACTGAAAGCAGCTTTGGGAATTTTCAAGAAGCGACTAGTATTAAATCGTTTGTTTGTCCAATATATGACAGATCACACTGGCACAAAATTCTTGTCAGCGTGGCTTAGATGGTTATTACCTGGAGAAATGTAATTACGGTCCCATCACTCAAAAGCATTAAAAGCACATGAATAAAATATTCAATTCCTTTTCTATGAGTTAAGAATTAATAAGTAAATATTGGAAAACATTTTAAATGAGATTTAACAGAAAATTCAATATTTATTAAGAAAAAAGAATTATATCTTGAATTTGAAGAAATGTTAAGAATTTTTACTTTTTCATTGACGGACTATAATTATGCTATTATCTGTTAAAGACTGTTCACGTAGTGACTATAATTACAAAATGATCATTTTTGCCAAAAAAATTCAAATCTATTTCATTTCTTTTATTAAAATATTCATATTTTTTAAAAGTAAGTTATTACATTCTGTACAAATCAAAAATATTGTACTTGCTAGCAAATTTTTTGAAGAAAATCAGGAGACAGTATTTACATACAATAAAGTCACTCACAGATTTTTAAAGGTAAAATAACACGAATTGACCCTAAAAGAAATGACACTGCAATTAAACTTTAAGGAGAGTGTTTTTCATAACCTGGAAGTTATATTTTATTCAACTAGAGCCATTGACAGTGTTTCAATGGCACTTTTCATACTGGTTACAGAAATTGCACAAAACATAACACATTATTGGGGACACATACGTGCGAGAGAAAATATACAAATTATTCTAAGAAAAATTGCTTATATTAATTAGACAGTCATACTATATCAGAATATGTATGCATTTATCGCTGTAGCACTTTCATAACATATAACACAGTGAATTACATAAGTTTAAAAGTGTGTTAGAAACAAGAGATACTAATGACATTTTACCTATACTTCGTTTTTAAAAATATAATACAATACAAAATGCATCTAATGCATATTTTTTTTATCATTTAGAATATTTTAAGCAAAACACATCATTAAATAATGAAAATAAATATTTTAATAAGAAATATTGATAATGGAAGCAAAATTTAACAAACTGAGAAAATAACCAGTTAGATATTGCACATAACTTGTTTAATTGATAAGTAATGCATTAAATTTAACAATATGATTTCTAATACTGTACTTCATTTTGTTCACATTTGTTCTTCATTTATATTAAATTTTGTTTGCCAAAAACAGATTACTGAAATATGTTTTACATCATATAATTTTGTATAAACAGTTACAAAGTTAAATTTATAAAACAATAAGTTGATAATTTCAAAGAACAATTTGGTTTAATGATTCGAAGAAAATTGATTGAAAATGATAAAATGTGGGGGAAAAATCCACTTGGTGGGTATAAAGATGGGTTTTTTCAAGTGGGCCTAATCTGAAAAATCCAACTAGGTTTTTCGTGCTGGGTCCACCTTTTCAAAACCTGCTTCAGTTCAGATCAAATGTCCCAAAGATAAAACTTTTTAATAAATACCTTGAAAACATTTACATCAAAACTGAACAGGATTTAATTAAAAGTGTACAATATGCATACATTAATGTCGAAGAGGAGATAGGTGGGACTATTTAATGCAATTTTACCTTTATCAATTAATTTCTAATTCAAAATTATCAATACATTCTTTTCTTAATATTATGAAATAGTTGATAAATAAATCCACTAAATGACTAAAAAAAGTGATAAATTTTGTTACCAAAAATATAAGACGAACTGAAAACTAATGAAAACATTTGGTCAAATATCCGGTTTTACAAAATCATTTTATTGATATTAAAAATGTATTTTTTTAACCAATACTATGAAACAAATGATTTGCTTAGAATTTGTCTAATTTTTTAAAAAGAAATTGAGATTTAGAAATATGTATATTAATTTTCTCTAAATTTTCTTTAAAAAAAATTTCATCAATAAATTAATTTTAACAGTAAAATTAAGCTCTTATAGATAAATTTTTTGTTAAATGATGGATTAAGTTTTAAGATAAAGGAAGGAGCAGAGGCTTAAAATAGAAGTTTACTTGTTTCTCATCCAGGAAGAAAAAATTCTTATTTTCAAAAAGTGACTTTCTTTGGTTATTGATATCAAACGACACCACATCCTTATCTATGAGAGCTTCTCCAATGGGTGGAATATACCTATAGCAAAAATAAAATTAATTAAAACATTTAAAAAAACAAAAATTTTGTTTGAAAATGAAAATTGAAATGAGATTTTGCTAGAAGAACGAATATTTTGCCATCCAAATGTTCAATTCAAAAAATTTAACTATTTAATTTTTTTTTTAAAGTTTCTGGAATAAAATTTATCTGATATTCTTAGTTCATTTTTAAAAACATGAGATTTTTCTAGAAAAAATAACTTAAACAATTTTTTTTAGTACGAAACACTTTAACATGTACAAAACCATGTATAAGTGATGCAATATATAAATTATATAAACATACAAGGGGGGGGGGGAGAATATAGAACCAACTAAAGGGAAAAAAAAAGTTTTTTTACTTGAATTTTGAAAGTTTTCTGAAGGAAGGTAAATCCTTATTTAGTTATAAATTATTATGTTAGATATTTCACTCAAATTTCCTTTTAACTGAGTGAGAAAAGTTTTACAAAAATTTTATTACAGCATGCAAGCAATGAACTTTTTCTGGCAAATGGAAATTATTGCTTTATATTATAGAAAACAGAATTGCTTCATAATTCAATATCAATTTTAGAGAAATTAAGCATTCTCTAAAATGGCACGACAGACCTGGGATCGCTCAAGCCTTCAAAGGATTCATTTTTAGACGTCTCTCCGTTTGACCACTGTCCACGAATTTTGGTTTTCAGAATCTCTATATATTTCTTGAGACAGTCAATCCATCTAAATAAATCCCCTACACCTAGTTCCTATAGGTTTAGCTAAAAATAGTTTTCATTAGTTGTGATCTTTATGCTCACTTATTAGTTTCTTGGAATTTCAAGTATTTCATGACATCAGTCTCCATAAAGCTTTTAATTCCTTTGCCTCCCACCTCAATTCTACCACAAATACTTCTTGGAACTTTTCTCTCAAAACACCTCCCCATCTCTCGATTTTAATGCTCATATCTCAGGTGTATATAATAAAGAGATCTAAAAGTGTTTTATATAAAAGAAATTTAAGTTTTTAACTTCAAAAAACATGATCTTTGAGGCTGTAAAAACTTGTGTTTGCATTTGTGATTCGTTCATATATTTCTGAGGTTTTCTTTTCTATTTTCTTCAATATTTCTTAATTATTTTTCATTTATATATTGTCGAGTGTCAGTAGCTCAGGGGTAGAATTCGCTTCTATAAAGCCGAAGGTCCTCGGTTCGATCCGGGAAGCGGACACTAATTTTTCTATTTCGTTTATGAGCATTCCAGAAGCTTCTGGAATGTTCAGTCTATGTCATTTCCTCTTTCGTTGTTCCTAGGAAGCTTCTAGAACATTCTGTGATAGTATAAAAGCGATCCCGTGATTGTAAAGAGGAGTTCTTCTGGGCGCAGACTGGTTCCCGGTGTTTGTAAATTCCTGATGTTAATAAATTATCAAAACCTCATCTTGTGATCTTCACTAAATCTAAACACTTTAACGTGACAATATCATCTTTATTGTTCCAAACATCTTCGAACAAATATGTTGAACAGTAAGCTGAAAATATCACAATTCCACACTTTTTGCATAATATTAAGTAGTTGCCATGTTGCAAGTTGTAATTTAAAGTTTTATACCTTTTACTGATTATATTAATAGATTTGTATATATTTTATAGAATAGTAAGTAAAGCAAGCAGTGAATCTTTTCGTAATATAAAAATTGTATTTCTATTATAAATCATTTGAATTAACTTCATTTTAAATAACTCCATAATTAAATTGTTTTATTCAAGTAAAATTTTTTATTCTTTAATAATAAATATTCTACTATAGATATATTGATTTCTTATTGCAATTTTTATTCATGAACAAAATTTAAAAAGTAAATTGACCCAATTTGTATAGCTATAGAAAATTAGTTGGTTTTTAAAAACAAACTAATTATTTGAATTTAATGTAATACTCACAATGCTACAAGAGTGGGCAGTTTAAACACATAAACAAATTAGGTAATGTACGTAAGTTAATCAAATGGTGTAATAATCTAAGACTGATGCATATAAAAAAAAGAATCTGAAAATCAAGGGACATGTGTTTACGTAAAGAAGGCAAACCCCTGGCAGATAAATCAAATTAACCTACAAAAGAAAGTATATTTTAAAATTTAACTCATCCTTGAAAATGTGCACTATTTAGATAAAGATGATAGTGATGCACAATTTCATAATTGATAGAAATATTAAAAATCGAAATATTTAGAATATATAATATATATGCAATAAAGTCAATACTAAAATACCATAGAACAAAAAATACTTACTGTTTTGGACAAATAATCTTAGAAGAAGTAGTTAGGCTATTTAATAAGTCAACAAAATAGTCAGGCTTGACTATAGGTTTAGCTGAACATAAACAGCATAATGCCTGAAAAACAATTATTTAAATGCTTGAATGAAATAAGAGAAAAAAAACTTAAAAGTATGAACATCAGTGAACATCAAGTATTTAATATTTTCTCGTAAATTTTAATTTTCCTCTTTTTTGCAGTGAGGTAAAAAAAATTATAATTTACTTTATTAAGATTGAAAATATAGTTATAATCTTTCATAATTTAAAAATTTCAGAACTTAAAAGCACAATTAATTTTTAGAATGTAATATTCTATCATCAATTATATATATATAGTTAATTTACTGATAAGTTGCTAAAATGAAAACAATAAACAAGAAGAAAACTAAAATCAAATATTTAAATTACATTAAAATTCCATAAAAAAAACTCTTAATTTATTTATTCATTCAATTTCATTATTGTCTAAAATTTCAGAGTTTTATCAACTTGGAATAGTATCTTAAAGTAAGAAATCTATCAAACCAAGAAATTTTAAAATCTTATTTTGAATTAATAATAGTCTTTCAAAAATATCAAAAAATTTAATCTCACTGATGAAACTCATCAAATTATCTTATACAGTTTAAAATAATAGCTTGAAAATTTTAAAATGATGAGAATTTTAGATTGGCTATTATTCCAGGTGATAACTAAAAGTGCAAAATTCGTGTCTGATGCTTATAAAATAGATTGAAAAATTAGTCTGTTTGGTGATTTATTAAGACTGGTAATAAATTGCAAATTAAGCTATAAAGCTTCATTACTTTACTTTTAAGTGTAAAACTAAATTCAAAATATTTTTTAAATGACACACGTAAATTTAAAAAACAGCAAAACAGTCAAGATTGTAATAACCAGTCTTTAAGAAATATGTAGCAACACATCATATAAAGTCACTATACTGCAAACATTGAATGTTGTAAAAAAAGAAAGATGAAAATAAAAAGAGATTGGAGATGTTATTAGTGACATGTTCTGAAAACGCAACGAACAGCCAATATTATCAAACTAATACTGGGTAAAAATGTTCATTGTTATTGGCTAAAATAGTAATTACTTTTATGGTCACTTTGACTTCAGACATAACTAAATGTGAACAGGATGGCTGCCATTCTGATACAAAATGTCCTCCAAGGCTATGAATAGTCTTTTTAAGAGTTCTCTTTCCTGATACATCTAAACATGAAGTAGTTACCACTAATGGAAGCTTACAAACTCTAGATAAAATTAATAAGTTTATTTTAATATCATCTCACAGAATATCTTTTGATACATTAAATACATAAGTAAATAAACAAATAAAATAATAATTTTTTGATGCTCATTAACTTATTGAGTTTTTTTTCTTATACAGATATTATACTGTAAACAGATTACATTACAGATATTATTACATATACAGATTACTATATAGACAAATATAAATCAAAATACTAAAGAATCACATAATTGCTTTGTTTTTTTTATACCATGTTAAAACTTGAAAAAGTTATTATTCCTGTTAGTGCAAAATTTTAAAATTAGCATAACTTTCAACAGCCCAAGTCTATGTTTTAGATTCCGCAGAAAATAAACATTTAATAACTTGCTTATTTGATTCCAGATCTGAATACTCATTCACATCACAGCATTGTTGATTTAAAATGTAAAAATTTTTATCGACCAGCCATCACTGGGATTTGAGCCCGGAGCACCTCATTCGAAGGCAAACGCTCATCACGGCCTGAGCCATCACGGCTCCAGGCAATTGTAAAACCTTTTATTTGCCTCAGTATGGGATTATGAAGTCTGTCAACACAACTTCAAAATTTAGAGTAGTGTTTGATGTTTCTTGCCATTTATCTACTCAAATTTTATTAAATTCTTTATTGGGTAATGGTTTTGTTGTACAGAGAGATTTATTTTCTATTCTTCTTTTCTTCAAAATCCAAGAAATTTCGGTTTCGTCTCTAATATTGGGAAAATGTATACACAAACATTAACAAATTTACCAGTGTCAAAGATATTAATGAATTGTATGGAGAAATGATTCTAATTCAAAAAAAAAATTTTTTTAATGGCGGGCACTTGGAGCTATTGTCCATTGGCCACAAAAAGTGCCAGAACTGCTAATTCTCTTTTCGTTACCCAGTGGGCACCTGTGGCGAAGCCACGGCGGTGGAACAGCGTCGCCCACGTCACACTACCACAACCCGTTTATAGGGCGGGTCACATTCACACACAAAGGAGAAAGGACATAGAACACAGATAGAGGGAAAGAAACATCCATGCCTTGCCCGGGATTCGAACCCAGAACCTTTCTGATGCAAGGACAGTTCCCTGCCCCCTACACAGACTGGTCGGCCTAATTCAAAAATAAACGTGCATAAATTGAGAATCAAACTTATAATACTTTTTCAGCAACTAGATGTTCGCATCAAATTGCTATTGATAATAGAAATGAAAATCCTATTGTTTCTGATATAGATAATATTCATATTAACGATGTATTGCAAAATTTCGATTATTTAGAAAATGTAATAATTTATTGTTCTAAACTCAATGAAGTATTGGTATCAAGGGGTTTTCACTTAAGAAAGCGGCATTCAAATTGTAAACAATTAATAAAAGAAATTTCGCCAAATGAAAATGAACCATCTGTCACAGACATCTGTGCAGATAATTCTTCAAAAATATCAGATCTTAAATGAAACTCAAATTCTGATAACTTTGTTAAAGTTGATTTAAAATTTGAACCTCCCTTTACCAAACAAAATATTCCTTCCACTCATCATGTTTATTTGATCCATTGGGATTATTATCTCTTAGCACAAATCTAATTAAGATGATAAATTGCCCTCTAAATAGCACCAAAAGTAGGTTAAATAGCAGAAAGAATTTATTTGCACACAAATTAAAATACCTAAATGGTTGCATATTTATAGTGATGATATTGAGTTACATTTGTTTAGTGATTTGACAGAGCTGGCATATGCAGCCATACTGTATAGCAAGAAATAATATAAATTGTATAAATATAAACTTAGCAGGATGTAATAAATGTAACTTAGTAAATTGTATAAATGCAAATTGCAAAGATAGCAATAATTAAACAAATTTCACTCCCAAGATTAGAGCCATATGTTACATTATTACTTGCTAGAATTATCATATTGATTTTGAATAATTTTGTTAAATAAAATGTCACAAAGCATCTGCTTGGTGTCATTCAAAGGTCGTATTGGTATCGCTTGTTTCTTATCCACATGACCTCAAATATGCTAATTAATAAGTGCAGATATTTTAAGTTATGAAATCAGACACAAAAACGTACTTTCTCTGAATAAACATACCTTTTTTGACAGATTCGAATTTCTGTTCCCCGAAATATATGAGATATGGGAAAAACGGTCCCAATAATTCGGTCAGGAGAGCGATCTGAAGTTTTGACAACTTAATGTTAATTCTTGGGTATTTGGTTATATCTCGAAAACTTTGTTAGCCAATTGAAAATTGTTTGCATAGAATTATAATATTTGTTTGTCCTAAGATACTTCCATGCAAAAAATAACCTTTATAAAATATTTATTATTTTTTATTACATTATTTAATAATGGTCGAAATACTTTGAATTGTAAGGTATACAATTTTTAGTATCATTTTAAAGAATACAATTTTACATGGCAAAGTACAAAATTTGAGCAAAATCAATAGCATAGTTCCTGAGAAATCGAATTTTAAATATCTGACTTTTTTGAAATTCAATTTCTCAGAAACTACTCACCTGCCTTTGCTCAAATTATGCATTGTAAAATTATATTCCTTAAAATGATGCAAAAAATTGTATACCTTACAATTTAATTTTTTTTCCGACCATCATTAAATAAAAAAATAAATATTTACTAAAAGTTATTTTTTGCATTGAATTACATTTGGAAAAACAAATTTATGGGCAACACTTTTTCAATTCGCTTAAAAAGTTTTTGAGTCATAGCGAAATATGCAAAAAGTGAAATTAACATTAAGGGGTCCAAACTTTGGACCACTCTTCCGACCAAACTATTGGGACCATATTTCCCAGACTGTGACTAACCCTTATATTTTGGAGGTCAGAAATCCAAATACAGGCAGCAGTTTGCAAGAAACTCACAGAAGGGGATCAATTTGGAGGGTATAACTTGTAACCATCTCCCGGAAAACTACATATTCTTTTTTTTTTTAATTGGCATGTTTAAAACCCATTTGGTACCCTGGCGATTATATATAGCTGGCAGAATATATCATCATACGGAATGATCAAAATCTTTTCCTTTTTAGCTATGAAATTATCAAATGAGCAATTTTTGGAGCTTCCATTCACTACATTTTAATCTGAAGTTTTGGTAACACTTACTTTAGTTAGAGCTCATAATTGAGAAATATAATGAGTAACATTGCTTCGTGACACAAAAAATACTTTTTTTATACCAAATTACAGAAAATAAATAGAAAAACAGAGAGCAAAAATAAGTTAAGTAATGTTTTTAAACAACACCCTTTTACCTGTATTCACTTTCAAATTGACCAAATTTAACAACATCATTATCCTGCAGTTCAACTTCAATTGATATTCGGACACCATTTTTAAAAGTACCATACTTGGAACCTTCATCTCTCAAAAATAAGGAAGATGGTTTTAACGGATTTCCCTGTAAATATGAATTTATAAATAATTCTGTACAATAAAAAAAAACAAATTTTCAGAAAACAAATTAAAATTAAAGGTACCAAATTTTCTTCTGGATGTTTAACACTTAAAACAGCATGTTTGCGGCTAACGGAGGGATCATTTGTAATCATCAAAGTTGCGTCTTTCCGTCCGACAACCACTTCCTCATTAACTAAAATGTACTGCTCCAGATGTTCTATAAGAAAGAAATAAGAGTATTAGAAGAGGTAAACAAATGCGATTATTATTTTTTCCAAATTCTAACTAATGATTAGAACAAAGTTTAAGATATCTAGAAAACAAGCAAATTTATTCTAAATTCAACCTTTCTTGACATTTACTAATTTCCACATGATATTATATGTTATTTCACGCCGTATTTTAAATATTTTCGTATATTCCTCACAAATAAAGAGAATAAAACTCAAAATATCTCATTCGCGCATTACATTTCAAACACTTTTTTTATTTACAAAATTTGATTACTTGCTACGCTTCCATGTGTCTATTTTTGTTCAGCTATTTCGTTCAGCAATTTGTTTGTTAACCGATCTCAGAAAGAATCCCAGTTAAAGGCATCATTCACACTGCATACGATTTTTCTAAACGTGCCCACGTAGATGATTTTTGTTAGTTTACCCGCGCTAAATTGCTGAAGAATATTTCTTCGCCAATAGCGATAAATAATTCTACAAAGTTGCTGCCTTTGCTACCTTAAGAGCGTCTTTATCTCCGCCCCTAATGATGTGTAATACACTAGGATGCGCTGCAAGCTTTTTAATGCCTATACTTCCGGGGTAATGTTTCCGGCGTATTTTGAAGTCAATTGGCTCACAACGTGATCAATTGTTTTGAGACTCTTGAGATGTATTTCTTGTATACATGTATTCATTACCTAATTTATAATTTGTGTTAAAAAGAATCTTTATTAAAATCGTCATTTGAAGACCTGTCATTTCAAGATGGGAGAATCGTCATTTGAAAAAAAAAAGAACCGTTATAAAACACTTCTTACCTTGTCAACAATATACAAAATTCGAAATTTAAACCTAAATGATAATTTGTAAAGAAAATCTCCCTACTCGGCGTATGATGGTGCACGGATTGCAACAAGAACAGTATTATAATACTGTTCTTGTTACTGTCCTGATTTGGCCTCTTTTTGCGTGTCTATAGACACGCAAAAAGAGGCCAAATCAAGTCTGCTAAAAAAGCGAGCTCTACCTAAATCTAGCAACCATGTCATATTTTTAAACAATTCATCGATAATGGATGGTGTTTTCAGTAGAAATGTAAGCAATAACAATTTCGAGCTGTATGCCTGCTCTAGTACCAGTTAGAACGTTTGCTGCTGCTTACTACATGTTATTCTACGAGGCGATATTTTCAAACGGATAATTTTGTTTTCAATAAAAGAAATAAATTAGATAACTTCTGAGCTCAAATCTGCCGTAAGATAGATATTAATGCTAGTATATAATTCTGGTGAGTTTGAAGTGAAAATTTGCTTTAGTTATTTAGAGACATACTGTTAAAAAAAAGGTGACATGGTTGCTAGATTTTGAATAACTTGCTTTTTTGTCAGTCTTGATTTGGCCTCTTTCCATAAGTTTATTACTGTTTGTTCTTGTTGCAAGCTGTGCACCATCTTACGTTAGTGTTAACACTTTTAGCATTGTAAACGCAAGTAATAAGTAATCAAATACATGTGGCAAGAATCTCAAAACACAATGATGCCAAATGACCTTAAATTACAACGGAAACAGTAATCCGGAAATTTAGGCGGTACCGAGCTTGCAGCGTTCCCTAGTGTAGAAAACACCATCTATTAGAAACAGATTTTCACTTTAAACTCAACAGAATTACTTGATATCATTAATATCTTATGAAATACAGCAGATTTGAGCTCAGAAATTATGTAATTTATATATTTCATTAAAAACAAAATTATTTGTTTGTAAATATCGCCTAGCAGAGCAGCATAAGCTGTAGTACGCAGCTGTATACTTTCTAACCGGAAATAGAGCAGGTTAAGAGCTCGTAATCGTTGTATACATTTATATTGAGAACACCACCCATACAACGAACATAGACAAAATTTATTTTGGGTTTAAAAAATGGGAAATAAAGCGCTTATTGTTCTAAAACAGAAACGCAATTAAAATTTTTCGATGCGTTTTATTTATTAAATTTTATTACGTTTTTGTTTTTCTAGTTATAATTATAATAATTGTTTAATTTTATTTAGTTATAAATATGCTTTGTTTTCTTTATTAACAGTTTTGCTTTGTTCTACCTGAAGAAGTTTCTAGAAAAGATTTAGGAAAATATTAGCGTGTGGAATACGACTATGATTAATAAACGTTGTTCATTATTCTTAATTATGGGATGAATAGAGAGATTTTCATTTTTTTTTTTAAAGGATAAGTGCCACCTTGCAGTATGCATTACGCTGGTATGTCTTTTTAAGGTTTGACAGTAGTTTGTAGAGATTCCTGGCAACTACTTTTAACGTTAGTTTAAAAAAGAAACGCGGATCTAACGCAACTAATTTTTCGAATTTGATAGGTACAAATGGGCATCCGGATTAAGACCTCTTGAGGCCCTAAGCACTGAAAATATTTTGGTGCCCTCCCGCCTCTAACAATAAAAAATATATCTAGTACTAAGTCACGTGTTAATTCAAAATATAAAATCAAATTTTTTTTGTTAAAAAAATATTTACTCAAATTAAATCAAAAAATTTTTTTTAAATAATATAATCAATTGAAAACTTTTCAATTAATATTAAAAAAATAACTTATGTTTGTGTGTATGTGCAAAAAAGCAAACACTTTGAATAACTTATGATCGGAAGTTTGAACTTTTATTTACTAAGACTCAAAATACTTTAAATTAGAAAAACAGACACGTACTTTTTCTTAAAAAAGCATACCTTTTTTTTTCAATTGATTCGAATTCTTGACTATCGAAATAAATGACCATATCTCGAGAATTTTTCAAACGAACTAAAAAATTTTAGCACACAATAATAAAATTCATTTACCTAAAAATAGTTCCTTGTCAAAAATAATTTGTAAGAAGTATTAATCATTTTATATTATTTTATTTATTAAGAGAATAGTCGAAAGAACTTTAAATTGAAAATTTAACAAATGTCATTTTAAATGACAAAATACAAAATTTAATCTGTACTAAATCAATCAAATAAACCTGAATCTTTCAATTTTAAAAAAGTTATATATTTAACATTTAATTTCTCAAGAACTTTTCGACAGATTTTGTTCAAATTTTGTATTTTACTATTTAAATTAATATTCTTTAAAATTATGTAATAGTTTGTATATTTTTGAATTCAAAATTGCTCCGACTATTAATAATAAATAATTTTTAAAAAAATATTTTTGACAGGGAATTATTTTTAGGTTAATGAATTTTATTATTAAGTGCAAAAATTTTTCAATTCGTTTCAAAAGTTCTCGAGACATGGCGAAATGCATGAAAACTGCAATTAAATAAAGGAGCCCAAACTTTCAACCTAAAAAAACTTTTGGGATCTTAATTTCCATGTTGTGAATACCATCCATATTTTGAGAGACAAATATCCAAATTCAACAACATATACATATGTAGGTAGAGGAAGCACGTTTGCCCGATTTCATAACTTAAAAAAATATCTTCTGCACCAACTAATTAGCATATTTTAAGTTTGGCCCTCAAACCATTTAGATTGAGATCTAGTAAGTTAAAATCCGATCATTAAATCAAGAGTTATTCAGGTTTTTTACTTTTTTTATTTTACGCACTGTATATAATAACACATAACTTTTACAAATAATAATGCTTTTCATTATTCCTTTTTCCTTATTAAACCTAATATATTAATAATGATAGGAAGAGAAATGAAGGGAAAAAATAGTGATGAGTAATTTTATAAATGCAACAATTATCTTAAATGATCCCATAAAATCTGGATTAAAAATCAGAAATGAACTTATTTCATAATAACAACTCACTCTAGATTGCATCTGTGGAAAACAGAACTAATTATCTAATAGAATTATTACTATTTTGTTTAATATTTTGGACATTCTCGTAGTTAGTTGACCTGTCAAAGTCAAAGGTACAGAAGAGCTTAAGAGCAATAAATAACTATCAATTAAATCTTAATTTGACTAGTAAAAAAATGACCTTTTAGAAAAAATGATAGAAATCACTTAAAACTACTGCATTAAACCTGTACTTAAAACTCTCATAAGTGATAGCAGTAACTTTGGTCTGAAAAAGCTGTTACAGTAAATAAAAACTCTGTCCTCAATAAGTAAATAAATGCATAAACAAAATACTTTAAATAACTATAAATTCAATGATCAGATTTTCATTTACAAATTCGGAACATTCGTGTTTTTATAATACAAAACAAAAACATAAGTATAGCAACAATGAATATAATATAAAAACTAAACTTAAATAATAATCAGTAGAAAATAACAAACCATCATTTTTAATTTATTCATTTTTTTTGTGTTACGATATTTTTTATTCCTGTATGCATACGCGTACATAATACCACATTAGTTTTATAGAAAATAATTTTAGGTTTGGAAAAATATAATCCTTAGAAACATAAACAGAAGTATTGTATGTAATTTTATTAAACCAACATTTATCTTAAACCTACTAAAATCTATTTTGCCTACTAAAATTGTATGTACTAAACATTTTACATATTCTTTACAACATTTAAAGACAAATTCGTAAAATAAATCGAAGTAAAATTTGTTTATTGTTACCTAAACTTTTTATTTTAAATCGAATAACTATTTTAATTATAACGTCATAGATTGAAATTTATTTCGATAAGATCAATCATTAAAAAAATTTAATTACTTCTTAAAACTTATAATGCGGCATCATCCCCTCTTAAAAAATGCGTCACATTGTAGTTTTAACAAAAACTTGAAATTTAATTTTATTACTTTTGAGTATTATTGTGTGATAGAATGCTTAAAATGCAAAAAAAAAAAAAAAAAAAAAAAAAAAAAAAAAAAAAAAAAAAAAAAAAAAAAAAAAAANAATTAATTTTTTATTATTAAAATATAATAATTCTTTAGGAAAATTAAACTCTTCACTTATATTGATTTAGACACAATCAATATTGATCGATAAATAATAATTATTGATAAAATTACTTGAAGGGTTTAGCTACTACCTGAAGCAACATCAGCTTCACACTATTACAGCATGCTTTCAAAAGCAATAATTTAGAATAATGTTTTAGTAGAATAAGCTTTTTCTGTGCATTCATGTAGGATTCAGTGCAGTCACGTTCTGTGCATTCATGTATACACGGGGGTGTGTAAATACGAGAAATTAGTTATTGTAGCATGAATAATGTTATTGGTTAAAAATTATGTCAATCAAAAAACTTTTCTTTTCCTAGACCTCCCATTTTCTTCAATCTTATAAGTCACCATTTATTTGTATCTCTACCCCCTACCCCCTCGAAATGAAGAAAATTTGAATTTTCTGAGATATGCACCATTTTTTCTTTTGAAAAAAAAAAAAAGAAGGGGGAATGAGTCCCCTATAGGATGCTTGAAGATGAAAGGATGTTCTCTGTCTGTAGTAAATCAATTGGTTACACTTGTCTTGTCCTTA